CAAATAAAAAAATTTTCATCGAATTTGATTAGGTGGTTGTTAAGATATCTTTTTTAAAAAATTTAGAAAAATTTGGCGCAGCTTCTATTTTGATAGATGGTTTAATTTTTTTTTCTTAAAAATTTGAATAAAAATATCTCATTAACCACCTAACCAAATTCTATAAAAAATTTTTTATTTAAATTTTATGAGTTTATAAAATTCAATAAAAAAAAATTTATTAAATTTGATTAAGTAGTTATTGAGATATTTTTGCTTAAAGATCTAAAAAAATTTTGGCGCAGCTTTTATTTTGTTAAATGTTTTGATTTTTTTTAAAACTTTAAGCAAAAATATCTCAACAACCACCTGACTAAATTTGATGAAATTTTTTTATTCGAATTCTATGAATTCATAGAATTAAAATAAAAAAAAATTTATTAAATTTGTTTAAGTAGTTGTTAAGATATTTTCAATTAAATTCTTCAGGCAAATTTGTCTGGAAATGATCTACAGATTAAGAGATAGCAAAAATCTGAATATTTACGGCACAAGCCTAGTTTAGATGGCGAAGCTCCAATTGACTTTCTAGTTTACCACAAGAAATTCTTTAGTTTGACTTGACGATAATGGCAATTGATAAGTTCATGTGTTTTTTCATTAGAATTCTCTCTCAATATTGTGCACTAGCTTTTAAGCCATTTATTTAGTCAATTTTATTTATTTATTCGAATTAGATCATCTTTTATCAATATTAAACCATTTACAGTATATTTGCGAAAAAAAATTTTATATTCATTATTATAAAGACTTATACCAAAAAATTAATTAAAACTATGAAGTATATTATTTTGTATTTATATTTATAATAATAAAAAAAAAAGCAATTTTCACATTTATTTATGATGCATCTAAATGTAGATGATAAATAGATATTTTTATGGATTTGTAAATACGTCAATTTAGCCACATGATACCAGTTAACTCGTGCAAAAACTATGGCTACTAACTCATAAATGCTCATAAATGTAGTAAATTGTATTAACCATTTTTTTTTTTGAAATGAGAAATATTTTTTAATTAACAAAAATAGAATTTTCAACAAAGTTATATTATATTAATTAGCAGCAATATAATGATATTTTAGATTATGAACTATGAAAACTAAATAATATAACCGAATATTGGCTACCTCCCTCAATTTCTGAAATTTCACCAAACTCTTTATATTTAAGTTCGAATGGTAATTATTCATTATTCTTACTTCCATTTCCCAGAGCAGATGTTTTGCTAAAACCCCAAGTATACACTTTATTTTTATTATTAACAGCAATACAATGATGATCTCCAGTCGCAACGTATTTGCAATTATCATAATTATCATAATTAATTTGGACAAGAGACTTTCTGTTTTTTTCAGAAACACCAATGCCTAATTGTCCATATTTATTGCTGCCAAAACTATAAACATCATCATTTTTTAGAAGGACTAATATATGGTGAAGTTCTGCAAAAATTTGTTTCACTCTAAATAAGTTTTTGAAGAATTCTAACTTTATTGGAGTAATAATAGGATTTGGTGATTCAATACCACACTGACCCTCTGCATTTTACCCCATATATACACCATTCCATCTTCATCAATTGCAAAGTTGTAATTTCCTCTAGCAAAAATCTTTCTAATTTGATTGATTGATATTTTTTCAGGAATTAGCATTAAACCATTGGGTTTACGAACCAATATTCTTCTTCCAAGCTGATAAGAATCTATGCATCCAAAAGTGTATAAATAACCATTTGTCGTTAGAACTAATACGTGATTCTCTCCAACAGTGATATCAGCAATTTTTAAGTGAGAAGTAGGACCAAATTTCATAAAAATTAATTGCTTATTAATTGCTGAGGTAAACCTTGTATTTCCATTATTATCCTTAAAAGTATTATTATGATGAAAATATTAATCTTATGTAATTTTTGTAAATTTTGAAAAGATATCTACATATCCTAAATGTTCCGGTAACATATAATTGACCTCTATCAGACAATGCTAGCGTCATATTTGAACCACAAACAACTTTGACTATAACTATATCATCAAGACCTTGAATGTATACAGGCACATTCTCATCAGTTGATTTGGATTTTTTTCACTTTTAGTAACTCTACCCAATGCATCTTTTTAAATGCATTAAAAATCAGTTTATATATTCTACGCTACTTAATTTAATATTTATATATACATTCATACCTTCATCATTGCAACCCCAAGTGATGACCTAAAAAAAACAATAATTTATTATTAATTAATAAATATAAACTTTTGTTGTTAAATGTAGAATAATTATTATTTTTTTTTTTACCGTTCCATCTCGAGTTAGAGCTGCCACATGTAGACTTCCACAACTAATTTTCACAATATGAAAATCAGCTAGGCTTTCAACGTGTCTAGGATATTCATTTCTTCAACATCGTTCTCTAAACCAAGTTCACCACAATTATTGCTGCCAATAACAAAAAATTTTGTACGTTTTGAACTATGAGTAGGTAGTTTGGATATCTCTACATCAATCATCTCGTGTATTCTTTTTTGGTTCATTTTTTTTAGAATTGATTTTCAAATTTCAAGATAGTTTATTAGTTTTGTAGTGATAAAGTACGTATATAATGCAGTCAGCTCTAGGATTTAATATGCCTTTTTATAGTGAACTGAACAACGAAAAATCAATATACTGTACATATAATAATATTTTTTATTATAAAAACCGGTTTTCATAATATAACTGACAAATAATTTATACGGTATATTGTGCCGAATTTATTATATAAAAAATAAATTCAGTTCTGAACTTTATTGTATAATTAAAATTTTTATTTAGTTGCTTAATTAGAATTGGGTAAGATAATAGAATTGAGTGCGTTCTAGTACATGTACTAAGCCTCAAAATGCTGCGCGATAATGCACATTAGCGAAAAATCTAGTCTTTGCTATAAAAAATTTTTTTGAATCAAAAAAAGATTCTTCTCTAACTGGTTTTTTTTTTTTTTTTGAATTAAAAACAGAGACTATTTTTGCAATTAAAAAGAGGCTGTGCAGAAGTCGAATTCACATGAAAGTATTTAAATTTTGCAAAATCATTCCTGGGAATCCAATTTGCAAAATGGATATCATTTTCGCTATTTGTATACTCAAAACTTTTTACTACATTTTTTATATTTTTGCTCTTATTTTTTTAATTTTTATAATGCTTCTAAAGTTGAAGAAACCAATACTATTGATAATGATTATTCAACACTAGTTATTAAATTGGACGACGATGAAGAGGATGAATCCAAAAATAAGCTGAAAGAAAATACTCTCCAGCAACTTGCTAAACTAAAAGAAGTAAATGCACGACTCAAGAAAAATATAAACAAAAAAAATCAAAAAATTAAACATATCAGCAAAGAAAATTTACTCCTTAAACAAGAAAATAAACGAATCACAACTGAAAACTTGCTATTTAAACAGGAAATAAAATTTTTTTGCCAGCAAATTGTCCAAAAAGATAAAATGTATAATAACCTTCAAAATGAAGCAGATCAAGTGCAGTTGAATTTTCAGAATGCGGCTGTAGACCTTAAGAAATCGAAAATCCTAAATAAAGCCATACTACAAGTTTTAAAGAATAAAATTAGTGATTGTATAGATAACAAGAAAAGGATAGCCGATCAACAAGTATTAATTAATTACCTTGAAGAACAGATAGAAATAGTCAAATCATCTAATTCTAATAGAGAAAAAATAAATGTAAACCTCATTGGGATAATTCGAAAAATTAAAAAGGAACAATCGTGTGTAAAAAAAATTATGATTTTGAATAATATAAAGAAAATAATTTGTAAAAAAAAAAAAAACTTTGAATTGTAAATATTTAATTAAAATGTACTTTATTGAATTTGTTATTTATTATTTATAAATAAATATAGCAACTTTATTTTATTTTTTTTATAATATGATTCTTTTTTATAATGTATTATATTATTGAAGTATAAATAATTAATCTGTTAGTGAATTATACCTTGTTTAAGTCAGCATGCATATAGACTCTTTGTAAAAATGGTGACCCCACAAGGGAGCTTAATGTTTCTTTTTTGAAATCCTTCTAAAAATTCTTCAAAAAAAAAAAATAAATAAATAAAAATTTAACAAAAAATCTAAAATTTGCAAATTATTAATTATGAAAATTATCAAGAATTTACAAGTTATCTCTTACATTAATACATAAGAAATTTAAAACCAAAAATATACTCATTCAAAATAAAAGTAATGGTTTGTAAATTCTTGGTATTATCAGTTAAACATTATAAAAGACCTTTTTTTGCTCGCCACAGTTTTATTGTGTTTTATAAAAAATGTTACTTTTATTAAAAAAACTTTTAATCTTCTCAAAAAAAAATAATATTAAAAAATGTATCTAACCCAAAAAGTGGTTCATCAATTCCAAATCCAAACCCAAACCATGATTCTTTAATTTTAAATATGATTTTGTTTTTTTAAAAACATTCTTAGAAATAAAAAAAGATCTATTTTTTTGTTCACACTCATCGCAAAAATCGTCTAATGGCGTCCGATATATTTTTTCGCAACAAATGTTAAGGTCAACATATTGGTAGAGAATTCTAAAGGCCCTATGAAATTCATTAATAATCCTTTTAAAGCTAACATAGTTTATACCATTTCCAAGATTTCTTGACGTGTTAAAAGGTTCTTCTATATATAGTTTCCAATGGCCCTATTTTTTTTCCCGCTTATTAAGGAATTTGCCTTGTCAAAGGGATATGACTTTACTCATATAATCAAATCCATAAGCAAAACTAACAGATGTAATAAATTTTAGTTTTTCAAAAGTTATGTAATTGTTATAGCTGATGCTAATGCTGAAGTTTGGAATTTCTATTTGTAAATATAAGTCATTTTATTAAATTCTAATCTGACATAAAAAGAATATCTTACAATTTCATATTAAAGAACTTCTATTGATTTTATCTAATGAGAAACCTTTTTTTTTTTTAGAAGAATTGAAAGATAAAATTGAAAATTGATTAAAAAATTTCAATAAATATGAGCTTACTTAAACATAAATTGTAACTGCTGTGACAATAAAATCAAATAAAAATAAACATAATATTCTAGCAGTTTTTTCTCTTTAATTTCTTCTTCACAATACTTAAAAAAAAATGAAAAGATTAATTACTCCCCTGTGCATTATTTTGAGTACGCACATGAGTGTTATTTTGAGACAATTAATAATTCTTGTATAAAAAGTAAAAACCAAAAATGCTTCGAAATTAGAATTAGTATTAAGTAAAGCTTCCTTTGAGATTTAACAAAAGTTGCTCCGAAAAACAACTTTTGTTAAAGTTCGAAGGTTTACTTAATACTAAATCCAGCTTCAAAGTATTTTTAAATTTTACTATAAATAAACATCCCTTACTATGGGTGTGCGAGGGTTAATTTGAAATTATATATATTATTATTTTTAGGGGTTATTACGCAAAAATATGGTACAAGAATCATGTCATGTTTATATTAAAATTAGAAATGGACAAACCAAATTTTAGTAGTATTGAGAACAATTATACATTGGTTTTTATCCTCTAGTCTTGTTGTTAATTAAAATGTATTTATAATTTAAATTCATTGAGTAAAGAAAGCAAAACAAGCAGTATATAAATGAATCTAATAACAATTTAAACTACAAAAAAACTTGAATGAATAATTATAAAAATTTTTATCAGCATAATTTTTAAAAGCTCTCTTCTAATTCCTTTAAGCTCTCATCGGATAGCTTATAATAATCATTACTATCTGCTAGTATCTGCTTTTCAATTTTTTTAATAAGCACAGCAAATTCATCCTTTGTCATAACTCTTAGCCTGGGTGGGTCAATCATTTTGCTATCATAAATTACTTGCCAACCCAATCTTTGGACAAGTATTAATGAATGTCGGGCTGCAATTATTATATTTTTTATTATTGCTGGTTTGCCTTTATGATGAATTGTAGATGATTCTACTAATATTTTATTTACATGGCTTGCAATCCTTTCACCTTTGGCAAATTCACGATTCTAGTTATTTGCTTCTGGGTTTATTTCTTGTCTCTTTTCTCCAGTCACTTGATCAATCACAGTGATAAATCCGGGATAAAAAATTAACCAGAATTTTTTTGTTTCTTTATTCTTTTCGTTAGCTTAAAAGAGATTTGCACTAAATCACAAAGAGTATGAATGAATAAGACTCTCGAAAATTGATAATCATTTTCGTTATTTGAGATTTTTTTTCAAATAATTTTAATCTGACTTTCAATATCGTCTCCATCTTCAATTTCTATGTCACTGGTAAAGAACGTAAAAATTCAATCCACCTGTCGAATATTCCTCTAAAAATTTCGGTCATTGTTTCATTTTTTGGCATATTCTTTTTGATAATTATTGGTATTGGATCTCCAATAATTTGGATATCAGTGTGACTTTTTATTTTATTCTGCTAGATTTTTATTTTATTAATATTAAATATAGATCAAGTTAACATTCATGTCAATATTATAAATTCTTACCTGATCAAGCTTTTAGCAAGTAAATAAATATATTTTAGATAATGACCATCATTATGTTCGTATTATATACTGATTATAATAAAAATATTCTAATATATATTAATATAAAAGTATAAGACTTACATGCCTAAACTAAGCTATATTAGTATGCTATTACTATAAACAAATATAATACATACTGTATAAATAAACAAATCTCTTAGTAAAACTTGTTATACTTGTAAAGATTGACTACCTTCATCTAAAGTATTATCTTTATCAATTTCATCAATTGAACCTTCAACTTGATTTACTAAGTGGAGAGAGGTTGAACTTCAAGAACTATTGAGTTGTGTGAATGATT